AAACTTAAACCTAAAAGACAAACCTGAGAAATGAATAGTCCCTACTTAAGTAGCAGAGAGACAAAATGAAAAGTTCTGGTTTGTTCCTCTGAATTAAACTGATTCCTCCTAATTAAACTGATTTTAATAGTGTCCATACAGGGTGCATGCTAAATGGGGATTTAGCATGCGCTAAGTCTAACTGAGAAGATGGCTCTATTTCTCCTCAAAAAAAAAAAAAAAAACAAAAAAAACCTGTTTCTCAGCAAGATGCAATGAAGGCAAAAGGTCCACGTGCCACCTGTTTCATCACTGGCTTTGACCACAAAATTCTCGGGTCTTACAGGTGAGAAACCAAAATCAAGCCAACCACTCTAAGTTGCACCTTTCAGACCTTTACTTCTGAAAGTGCTCTTCAACTCAGACTTAGATGAAACTTTGGCATTGCTGTTCCCTTTGGTCAGGAAATAATTCTTCCCTCCTCCCATCCACCTGTCTCATCCACTATTCAGGATCATTCCCTGAGCAGCTGCACCTCTGTGCAGACTTCAAGGATTAACTACACCCATCTCTTTGTAAGGAAAACTCAGTGTGGGCTGAGATAAAACTCATAGATGAGGCTGGGAAAGAGATCCCAGGAGAACTGACTACTGTGGCCATTGGCCCTTTCTTCTCACTTGCAGGAAAGATCTTCTCTGACTCCAGAGAGAATTCAACCCACAAGGACAAATCTTTCCATTCAATTGGTCAGTCCTCAAGGGAATGCATCTTCTTCCCATCTCTTTTCCATTTAAAAAGTTACTTGAAAATATGTCTTCCCATTCAAAAGGAGGCTTATGACTATATTTCTGGCAAAATTTTAAATATGGTCTCTTTTCTTATTTACTCTCCATTGTCTTTTTGCAACAAGATTTAGCCTGAACATCACGTCTTTAGAAGAAAGGACATCTGAAGTAAATACAGGAACAGAAATGGATGAACAGCTATTCAGGAAGTGGTTGTTGAACTATGGAAGAAAACGGGGTTTACCCAAGTCTAGTGCTTCTAGGTAATGAAGTCTGAAAGACTACTCTGAGGAAAAGACCAAAAAATCTAGGTATAAAGGGTGATTTAATGAGTGATGTTACCTGTAACTCAGAAGAATGATGAAAATAGATGCTTTTAAAAATATCGAGGCTAAACAGAGTTTGATTATTGGAAAAGAATACTGTTTAATTTTTAGAAGGGATAATAGAATTTCTGGGTCTTTGATAGTAAGGAAAAGAAGTCTTACTTTGCTTTCCTTCCTCCTGAACTGAAAAAAAAACACGTGGGAAGTGGGACTCTAAAATCTTCTGGTGATCTTGACCATAATTTGCAAAGATTAGCAGTGGTTGGCCAAAGATATCAGAGGATATTCCAACACTCTAGGCAGAAGGATATTTATGCAAGTGTTGACCTCAGCAGGCATGATGTAGGAATAATAAAGCTAGATTTGGTCAACCTTAGCACAAATTGCTACAGGATGCTTTCTGCAAAAAGGGGGTTGCAGCTCTGACATAGATAAAACCCCTCCTTCATCCAAGCAGCACTGCTTTTGCTCCTGATGTGATATGTTTTGTGTATGTACAAGGGGGAATATTTGATTAACATTTGATTAACTAGAATTGCATTGGAAAAGGACTTAAGCCAAATCAGATGCCTCTAAAGGAAACAAAAATAATCAGCCAATGTTATCTATCTCCACTTAAACTAGTATTTTATTACAGAACATAGCTAGAGTTGTGAGTTTTAGATATCTAACTAGATTAGTAATATAATTAATATAATGCTAGTAATAGACTTAATAAAATGACAAAAAAATTTAAAACTTCACAATACTGTAAGCTATGGAATAGCTAGAGCTCTGATTTCATTACAGAGATAGTACTGAAAGTACTGGAAAAAAAATTCATTGTAATTTTCAAAGCAAAGACACTCCAGCTAATCAAAGATTATATGAGTGACTCATAGCACAGGCAAATCACAGAGACTTTTGTAATGAGTCCAAAATGGGATGCAAATCCATTTCAAATATTATCCAGGAGTTATTACTATGTGCTGTAGGTAGCTAACCCTTATTTCTCATACAGCAATTGTTAGCAAAATGCTCCTGAGTTTTTAAGTGAAATTGATTTAAGTGGTTGGAAGAAGTTCTCACTTTTCAATCCTATTAATCTAGTTATCTAGTTATCTTTTTGGTGGTCTCCATAATCTGAAAAACTGGGAATTGCATATACTCTCTCAAGAAAAAAAAAAAAAGAAAAAAAATATTCAAAAGGACGATGAGAAAAAAACCTAAAACAAATGTAATGGAAAAATTTTGGGGGTAATTAAACAGTTTGCAAAAGACCCCCAAACAAACAAACAAAGAAGCAAACAAACAAAAATCACTCCCTCAACAAAACAAAAAAAACCAACACCACAAAAAAGGGGGGGGAGAGAATATATTGATTTAACTTTCAATTCCTAAAGTTTTTTCAAAAAAATTGTCCTTTTTTTGATGAGTATTAGAAAATGTTACTTAAATCTCTCACTTGCTTTCTTTGACATGCTGTACATATGATTGCATTTCTGCACATTTCTAGACATGGCACTTCCAGATAAAAATGGATAGCCCAGGGAAGTTTTGTGTATGTATCCTGCTCAAGTGTCTAAAAAAAATTATCCTGAACCATGGGAGGATTTCCTGGGTCTTAATGGCATTTCCTGACTATTGTTGCAAGCCAAAACTGATAAACAACTAATAAAAACTAGTAGGGCACGCAAATTGTACCACACCTTTGAAGTTTTTGAATTACAGAACCTTTATTGAATCTTTACAATTAAAGAATATAATATACAAAAAAATTTCTTTTGTCCCAGGTGCAACACATAACAGAATCATATTCTGAATGTTACTAATGGGATTATGTAAGAAGATGGCCTTGTCCATTACACCACTCAAAATAATATGCAAATAATAATTTTATCTTTAAATTTGCAGCCTGCAATTTAAGATGCTAAATCAGTTTTTTATTTCATGCTTCTTTCAATAAGCTTAACAGTAGTATCCTATGTATATCACAAAAAAATTCAATACGTGTCCTATATGCAGGTTTTTGTCTTGGAAAAATTTTATGCATGTCATCACAGTCACTCTTAGAATATCTAAATCTTTACTATGCTAACTTTATTACTACCTTGATCTTTCAATGTATTACAGTTGAAATTTAATACACTGCATAAAGTTCCACATCCTAAAGCTAATCAGCTCTTGCATCACATGCTTGATTCAAAGCTGTTGTGTGTAGTACATGACTGATTTTTCATAATTCATTTAAGGAAACAGACTGACCAAACCAAATTCTTGACTAACAAAGATTATGGTTTCAGGAACTGAAAGGGGTTTAACACATCTAATCTTAACATAGATTATGCCACTGATTCACATTCCCTTATCAAATTCAAGACTCATAAAATTTATCAGCACACAGCAAGAAAATTACTCTTTAATTTAGATCTACCTGCTTTGTATCTAGTAGTTTAACCTACTGAAATGCAAGCTTCCTAGATTGTCCTTCTTAAGTGTTTTGAACTGGTATTCTTATGTTTGTTCACATTTTTCGGTTTAGTGGATTTCATAAACGATAAGAGAAGACATGAGATGTTTGGGGATGGTACTCTTGATCAAAACAGTGATTTTGGCTCCTCAGTATCCTTAACACTAACTTGCTTTCATTTTATAGGATAAGAAACATTCCCTTTCAAACCACATCAATTTCAATGAAAAAAATAAAAAACAAATCAGGAGCTGTGTATGAAATGTTTAGCTAGTTTTAATTTCCTTCCTGTGTCTGCTGAATTTTTACTGCGTAATGAAAAAATATGAAACACAAGTAAGGAAAAGAGGTGACCCAATTTCACCATTACTCCATGAACCAGAGAGATCTTGTTATGTGACAGTACGATCATACAATGAGAGAATTTTTATCCACAAGTATGAAATACTTGTGTTATCGTATCACTCTGACAAATTCTATTTGTATTATATTCACCTCAGGAATCAAAAAGAACAGTCTATTAAAAAAAAACAACCCAAAAAACCCCCAAAACAAAACAAAACAAAACAAAACAAAACAAAAAACCCCCTTAAACTAAAGTTTATGGACCAGCTGCTTCTGTTTAAGCCCACCTGCTTTTGTATTGATGCAGCATAGCTCAGGCATGATGTCATCTGAAGGGCCAGCACAATATACCCTGACTGATCTTAAAAATATGTAGGGAAGCCTCTTCTCTCTGAATGTGCATAATTTCCACTGGTGGAGAAGGCCGTTGTTCACATGCAGAAAGTAGTAACGTAGACTAAATGACCATAGTGGATAGAGATGTATGTAGGTTCTACTAAAGAAACTGACAATGATTTTTCTAATGCTTAATATTGACTTACTCTCACTACAATATAGCGCCCAGTTTTAAAACTTAAATAGTAAAGAACAACCTTCTAATGCTTCTTGTTTGCTTTTGTATGACCCTATGAGGATAGAAATAATTCCAGTCCTTTACCTACCTCCATCTTTTCATTCAACCACCCATCCACTCTGCCCTCCTTCCTAGTTCTATGGTTTGTTATGCATGCAATGGAGATATTTGTATTGCATATAATTTACTATACACTTAATAGAAGATTTCCTTGTTTTAAATGTTATAGGAAAAAGAAAATAAAGGTAGTGAGGGCTGTAGCTTATAAACAGAAGTACTATATACATGTTCACAGGAAATAGAAAGTATAATGACATTTATTATCTAGGCAGTCACTTAAGAGGATGGCCCAATATATACCATTCTGAATGCCAAGGAACAATGAAAATCTCAACGTGCTAAATCTCTTTCAATGTCATGGGAACACAGTTGTCACTTGCCATTACTGTGCAACTCTCTATTTCTTCATATATCCTAAACTGCCTATTCTTCCATAATTCAATGCATTTAATAATGCAGAAAATCAATTAATATTTACTGACCTGTCTCTGCTTCTCCGTGATGGGAACGCAGCATTACAGCCAGCCACTGTACAGACATGCATCTCTTTTAAATGAACATTTCGGTAGTGAAGCTTCACACTGTAGGAACTCTTGAAACTTTTCTTGCAAACATAGCAGATCTTGGGGTCTGGACTGGAGCACATTTCACCTTCTGGGGAGAACTTCTGAGGGCTGCTGTAGTTGAATGTAGAAGCAAAACTTTCATGAAGAGCAGCCATACTGGCACTGCCTCCATTGTACAGTCCATATTGGCTCATATAGAACATATCATATGTAGGGTCTGTATACTCTTCCTTCACCTTAATGACATCCTGGTTGGAAGAGTCATTGTGGTTTTCATCTGGTCGGTCACTGTGCATCATAGATTTTTCACCAGGTTCATGGAGGCGATCATCGCCTTCCAGGGATTCTTCACACAATTTGGGCTCTGATGACTCTGACTCATTTTCGTAGTCTCTCTCATGCTCCTGGTCTTCTGATGTCATGCTATCTGCCCTTCTTATGTCTGGTCTGGACATACATCTGCTTCTGTCATTTTTGGAAAAGTCTTTAACAGACAGGCCTGGGCTCATTTCCTCCTGAGAATGGCAGTGATTGTCATGACCAATGTCATTCACCATTGTGCTCCTGTCATTCACCTCTTCATCTTCATCATCAAACTCATCAGCAGTGTCAATAACTTCCTTTTCAATTTTAACTGGCATGCTTGACTTTCTTGGCTTCTTTTTGGGGGCAAGGTCTGCATTGGGCTCTGGGGTGGGCATCAACACTGAAGGTACTGATGACTCTGAAGGAGGAGGGGGATGCTGCTCCATGCCACTCACAGCTGGTATTATGGGACTGGTTGGGAGTGAAGTTGGAGGACTCACCATCTCTCCAGGAGTAAGTAAATTTCTGTAAAAAGGAGGAACAGGTTGGACAGTCTTTAAAGCTGGGAAGACCAGCTGACTGGGAAGAGGGTTCTGTAGTACTGGGTCCAGAGGGGGAGTGGTAAACCCCATCGGTGGACGCCCAGGGCTTGTTAAAGTTAGGTTGGATTTTGTACTTGCTATGACAGGAGTAGCGGCACCTGATGTAGCACGAATTAGATCTTTGTCACGGTTGTTCCTTAGCATAGGCATGTGGAGGCGGGGATTTGGGTTAGCACTGTGGCGATTGCGGCTTCTGAGAGAGCTGAAGACCATATTGCAGCCTTCAATAGTGCATCGATGCTTGATTTTCAGGTGCACAGCATTGTAGTGGATTTTAAGAGTACCTTTATCATAGAAAGTTTTGCCACATGCATTGCAAAACACTCTTCCTTTCCTGGAGGCTGACCCCATTCTCCTCATTCTGTGAATTCGGAATGAGCTTTTTGTGTGTTCTGTTTTCGATAAATCATTGACTGGCGTAGGTGTTTGAACAGGAGAGACACAGGCTGGCTCAGTTTTGGGCTCCACATTTGTGATGCTAGTCAAAGCATTCCTGCTGGATGCTTGCTCATTCTTGAAAGGCGTAGGGGAAACTTCAGATTCACTGCTCTCATTATATTCGTTTTGGGTCGTAAGGCTTGGTTCACGGAGTCTCATTGCTGGCTGTTCCAGCAGGAGGCCATTTGGAGGCAGCCCCAGCAGTGGAGCAGAGACTGGATTTATGTACTGGAATGGAAGCAGGAATGCAAGGCTATTTGGGATGTTTTCAAAATGATGAATGCTGGAAGGGTTGCTATTCTCCAGGTGAGCAAGGAGACTTGGGCTCCTGGTGCGATTATTGCTTTCAATAAAAGTCCTTATATCTGAATCTGTCTTTGAAGATGGCACAGCCACAGCCTGCCCCTCTTTTTCTTGAATTGCCATCAGCTCCACGATAGATTTAGTTTCTCCAAATCTCAGGAACTGCTGAAGGGTAATGATCTCTTCTTCCCTGGACATGATGGCCCAGCGGTCCAGCACCTTGCCTGCAGCATCCTAGAGGCCATATCAAAGAAACAACAAAGACAAAACACAAAGAAAAGCTTATTGATTCTGCATAATTATTGAAGAAGGTGCTCTGCTGCCTGAACATGAAACACTAAGCTCAAAAAACAAGATGCAAACAGTGTTAATAGAACTTGACCAAACAACATAAACTTTCTATCCATGTAAATACTCTAATTAGTCAGTTAGAAAACCAGACTGAGTTTAATAGTGTCAGAGTACACAAAATGTAGACCTTGAGACTCTGTGATCTAAAATGCTTTCAGTACTTTTATTTTAATAACAGTGATCTCTGTAGAATGCTACTGTTTAGAATACATTAGTAAAACATGAACTGTTGTGCACACCACTGTATAATACAAAAAATTGTAATTTAATCACTATTAAATGGTAACACTATTAGAAAGAGTAAATAAATACAATTGATAGATTTGCTCCTTAAATACAAGAGGATAAAAGACTGAAACCATTTATAGACCATGTCATAAGAAACTTGGATGCAAGGCAAAATGTGTTGAAAACAGCACATAACACTTCTACCTTAATCAGTTTTTTCCTGGACTATTACTGGCAATTGATTGATTGCAAGCTTGCAACCTTGTTATGGTTCGAGTTGAGAGATTACTTTATTTGTAGCCTTCTTACAAATGACAGTTAAAAATATGTAAAAAAGTAAGGATCTGATGGATGTAAATAGCATAAATGTGTAAAAATGTTGTCTCTTAACATTGCCTTCTGATAGCAAGGGAAAAATCCAGAGAGAATACACATCAGTAATCACAAGACTATCTGTTGTTAAATATACATTAAAAAGCATTTCACACTTTCATTTTTGCTAGTAAGCATGAGATTTGCCTGAAGGTAGGACTTAAAAATTCTGCAATGTAATGTCAGGCAATCCATTCAAGCAAGTATTGATAAAAACATATTAAAATACTTATATAATGAATACATCATTTTATTGGCATCTTTCCTTTTGGGCAAATGCTGGACATAAAATTAGCACAGTAACTATAACCAACAAGAAATGTGGAAGGCCATCAAACCAAAATTATTCCAATGCTTCCTCGTGCATTAGACAGTCTGAAAGCCTTACAAGACACACCACCATACTGCCTCTGATATTTTTAGATCTTGAATCTCAGGTTCAAAACCTTACCTGAAGACTTTGGATTACACACTGCTGCTAAAATCATTATCTCTTTTTTGATTATTAAGTCTGAAATACCTTTCTTCCCCTCCAGCCCCTTTACCCCCTGGATTTATTTTTTTTATTTATTAAAACAATTAATTACTTTCAGTCTTCAGATGATTGATACTTCTCTTCCCTCATGTTTCCTAGAGTACCAAAAAATATAATTTTGCAATGTCAAATAAAAAAGCATGAGTTTAATTGATTAGAGTTGGTTTTACTATTTCAGTTTGAAAATGTTCAGTTCACCTCTCTGGGTATAAAGTTGATGTTGAAGATTAATGCCATGTATGTTTCAGTACCTTAGAAACAACTACAAAATCTTTATAAATGGTCCACATGTGAACTTTTACAATCAAACCCTGAAAGACAGTGAATCTCAACAGCAATTAACTTGGAAAATCTTACCCAGTTAACCCAGATGGAAAGCCCCAAAACCCATCTATGTGTAGAAAATGTTCATTCTGTATTTATGGTGATGAATGAAACATCATGATGCAGATGCTGGTTTTGGTTTGCCACATTAGTGGAAATGTGTTCACCTTTGAACACCCCTAAGCACAGTGGACAGGTCTGACTTCTATGTCCTTACAGTTCTTAATGTAGCAGTATTTCACAGGCAGTAAGTACTATCTAACAGAAAACATCCAGAACAGCAAATATCAACTCCAAGAAAAATAAGTTTAACAAAACCAAACCTAAATGAGATGAAGGGTGGAAGGACAATCCACCAATGCCATTAAAAAAAAAAAAAAAAATGAAAGGACAGGTTCATATTTTAAAGCTTAAAAATTGTATTTGTTTTTTTTCCACCCAAATAACTTTAGCCATTCTCCCCTTGGGTAAGATCTAAAGTTTCTTAGAACTCTACTTCAACAAGTTCCAGCCAACCATAGCAGTTCAGCATATGGGTAATTCCTACATGGAGCTGCAAAACCAGATTTTAATCAGATTTTGATCTCCAGGCCTTCGCTGTCATATCTGACCTCATATATCTGCACACATTTCCCATCCCAAGTCACAAATATAAATTCTTTCTAATTGTAACTTCCATAGTTTAAAGATGGAAATAACATTTTCTAATTTACACTGCTTACCTGTATTGAATTAGGATTTCTCTCTGCAGCCAGCTGCAGAGTGCTTTGCAATGTACTACTGCTACATTTTATGTTTTTGTTTTCATTTAAATCAAGCTTATATAACAGATGGATGCTTTACAAAAACCGATATATAAGTAATTAAAAGTTAATCACAGGTAGCACAACAGTAACTCATGAGAATAGTAGGTAGAGATCCTGTAACAGACTCCCACATAGAAGGGAAAGGCGGTGTCACATAGTCCATCCCTGATGGCAGCACAGCCAGCTCTCTGCATACACAGAACAGGCAGACAAGCCTATAAATGCAGGGGCTCCCTTTGTGCTTTCACGGAATTACTCCACATCTTAACTGAGCAAAGCTGGCACTTAGCTACATGAGTTACCTCTTGATGAGACACCACCACCCTTTGTTTGATTTTGTTTAAGAATTTACAATGAGGAGCAGCAGACCTTCAGCAGCTGCTAAGTCCCACTGATCAGGGAAACTGGCAGTTAAGGGTGTGATAGTCATGGTGTTACCCTTGCTGACATAGAAAAAGCAGGGAACCAGAAAGTTGTTTTTAAATACTCCTTGTCTACTCCTACTAGCTATATCAAATTTTATCTTTTTAATTTTCAGCAAGAAGTTTTCTGGCCTTTTTTACCCAACAAAAACAGAGAGAACTATGCAGATGCCTGTATTTCATAAAACCCTCACTGCTGATGGATACTGTCTAGCATATGCTTCCATATTTACACACTGAAAACTTTCCAGAAATCATTGTAAGCATGTATTATGCAAAACTAGATAAAGAGTGAATAGGAATGTCATTTTTTGATAAAGCTTAAAATTAACAAAAAAAATCTAACCATTATCCCATTTGAATTTAGCTATAACTAGCTAGGGATCTTTCTGTATATGGTAATACTTGATTAGAGGTTCAAGTCCTTTCTCACATGTAATCGATTTCTTGTTTCTTACAATCTCTCATGCTAAATTTTCTCCCCAAAGCCATTAAAGCATATCAACATTTAAATACTTCATGACAAAAGGTTCCAATTTATATTACTTTTTTCAGCTCACAACTGATTAAGCCAAGCCTCCAGTGACAATGTGTACAAGGAAGTCAGTGAGTACAGAGATATAACTGCATGCATACAGCTCTCAGCCAGGCAGAAGACAAGTATGCCCAATCTGTACAGCATACACTACTGTTCTTCCTACATTGTCCAAACAGCCTTGCTTTGATTTTTAATTTAACCAATTTTATTTTATTTATTAAATTTTATTTTACTGTGTAAATCTCTTTCTCACAATTTCAGTTGGAGAAAATCTTTTAATCTTTAAACTATATTAAACTGACCTCCAAGGATTCAAGACATAACCCATAACTTTTACTAACTCTAGCCACACACTCAAGCCTATTACTTGAATAAACATCACATACATACAACATACCTGCATATATCACATACGACATTAGATCTGTAAAGTAATGTCATGGTTTATCACCCTGAACCTGCCCCCTAAATTTTGCTGACTGTATGTTAGGAAGAAAGGTGTGTGTCAGGATATGCTAGGGTACATCTTGTCGTAAACTTCTGGGTCTAGAAGAACACGTGGTAGGATCAAGATGATTACCCAAACTACAAGAGGGGATGGACACAAAGATCACTCTAATTTTTAGGAGCTTAACCGGGGAGGGTTGCGAAGGTGAATCTTCATTTCCTGAAGGCCTTCAGTCTTTAAATATTTTAATTGAGCTTTAAAACCTCCCAGTTTAAAAACTGCCTATTTAGAAAATAAGGACAGCCTACAGAAGCATTCATCATAAACATACACTGTAAACCTGGAACTTCTATTATGAAATCAGTTGTTTTAAATTCTAATTTTGTGTGAGAAGCTCACATGACTGCTGTGACTGCATTACAGGCAGAATTTTACATGTTTGCACACAGAGAAACAGATTGCTGTACATATACAACACTGACTTTTTGCAGTTCTATGCTGTCTTACGATTCACTTAGGATAGGAAAAATGTATATACACACCTGACTGGATACACGGTGATAGATGCCCATACAAGGCTGAGATTAATACAAAGGTTAAAAAATAGATTGCTTTTAAAACTAGCTTTATGTTCTGGGAGACAGTCAAGGATTATTTTCAGGAGCTATTCTGAGAACCATTCAAAGTTGTACAGAAAAAGGAAATAATTGCCAGGCTTCATATTTTAGTAAGTTTGCATATGCACCTAAACAGTAGGTTTTGATGCATCTTAGTGAAGTTTCCTTGTTACAAAATATTGCACAGATACATATTTGATGAAATAATTAGACTATCTCAGGGTATATCCCAAATTTTTCTTCTACAAGCTCTTCTTAAGGAGCTGTGTATTTTCTAGCTGATCTCAAAGAAACATTTTGAATGCAGCTGTAACAGTTGAAAAGCAGACTGAAACATATTAATTTGGTCATACTATAATTGCACAGGATGGTTTTAATTAGGGTGTAGACCAAAAAAAAAAAAAAAATAGAAATCCACATTTGTTTCCAATAAAGAAAAGCCTTCATAATTTCCATGATTTAGGATTTGTTATTTTTGTTTGGCTGAATTTCCCAGAAGCATCTCTTTGCTTCACAATTAAATATCAAGCTGCTACACTCTGGGTAGTCCTACTACTCCTGGGGTAAGAGTTACCAAAACTGTGCAGCACCAC